GATGGATCCATCTGGGGAGCCAGCTTAATGTTAAAATAGTTACAAAAATGCACATTTCTGAATCTGAAGGCAATACGAAACAAAGACCTAGATCTAATAGAAGTCTAAAAGTGCAAAGTGAAAACTTAAACATTATGACAAAACAACATTCGTGTATGAGAGGTCCTGGAAGAAAGAATAATAGATAAAACTTGGTCACAACCACAAGTATAATACGCTTTTAATTAGACGTGACAATTTAGAAGCGGTGCTGAAAATGTAGGCCAGAGAGTTTACAATAATACTAACAAACCTTCGTACTATTGTAAATAAATAAAGGAGCAACTGCAAGAAATGGATTGTAGGGAAAAGGTTACCAACATTTACGTTCAAAATGATGTATGGCGTGGGGCATCTGAAAGAAACACAGTTTCGAGATTGTTTTAAGAAACATCTTATAAAAAAAACCCGCAACATACTTTAGGAAAATATGTGGCTAGATCATTCAGAGTGCAGCCTAAAATTGTAATTCTATTCAGAAGTGATGTCAAGTAAAATGTAATCTATAAAACAAGCTCTACAGGCCTTGGAAAGCCGTAGGCTACAAGGTTCGATGTCTCCCGCCACTGTTCAATCAAACCTTCCTGTTTACTTAAGGCAAGTCACATCTGCCCGCGACACACTTCCAGGCTTGCCCCTCTCTTTCTTGCGAGAGCCCACCGAAAGAAAGACCCTTGTGAGAACATACGATTGGGGATAATTATTCACTGTTTGTTTGGCTTTTCTTTGCATGACGTTAACGCCCTCTTTTACCTTAACAGTTCGGTTTCTGTCTAATGTAAATCCTTTAAAATGTTTTTAGTTTAGTTTTAGTAAGAGTTTTACGGCACTTGCAACACAATAAGGTCATATAAGTACCGAAGAACAGATTATGTGTTACAAGAGAGTAACAAGCACAAAAAAAGAAGGGAGATAAGAAGGGCTGATGTTTGATAGGAAAGAATGAGCAAACCACACCAGAGCACCCGCCAACCACCCACACACAAATTTACTCAATGGCATGTTATTCCGCATAATAAATAACTATATTCAGTGTTTCTGACATTGTTTCGACAGATGTAACAACTGTCTTGGATGAGAAGGAACACTGGTTTTCAGTACACGGACTTTCGTTCATTTTTTTTTCAATAAGTTTTTAAATCGACCAAACTGTTGACTCAGTGAATTGATTTATCTATAATCATCCTCAACATTGAAGTGTCATGAATCGAGTTTAGTTTTCGTCTTATTGTCGTGCACAGGTCAGAACACTGCCGACCAATCAGTGTTTTATCTTTATTTCTGTTGTAAAAAATAAGATCATAAGATCACAACCACTCTCATTGTTTATAATTTTGATAACCGCTATAACAAAATAAACAAAACAATAGGACCCCAGGTTGTTAGGGGGGGGGGTGGTTGTTTTTTGTGTGTATTTTGTTTGGGGTTGTGTGTGTGTGGGCGGGTGGGGGGTCAAAAGGATACACGAACAACCACTCTCTACAACGTTCAATCGTTAATCAAAGATATTTCATATCTTGTCATGTCTGGTAATGTCAAAGCGAAAGAAGGAGAAAAACATTGGCATAAAAAATAGAGTAGTTATGTGTATGTGTAGCCAATGTGTGTATGTGTTTGTATGCGTGGGTGTCTTGTGCGCGTCTGTGTGCACGCGTTTGTATGTATATTATGTTGTGTGTGTGTGTGTGTGTGTGTGTGTGTGTGTGTGTGTGTGTGTGTGTGTGTGTGTGTGTGTGTGTGTGTGAATGGTGTGTGTGTGTGTGTGTGTGTGTGTGTGTGTGTGTGTGTGTGTGCGTTGTGCGAGAGTGTGTGCGTGCGAGAGTGTGAGTGGATGAGAGATAGACAGACAGACAGACAGACAGACAGACAGACAGACAGACAGACAGGTTACCAATAACACTTTCTAGTGGCAAATCCACGCATAACTGCAATCTCCTGATAAATGACAAGTGAACTTATGAAGACTTTCTTCTCCTACTTTATAGCTAGTTTGATGAGAAACAGTATGGTGGTGAGTGAGGATCATAGTCGGATGTTGTGACAGTAAAGTGCCTTGGTTTGATGTAGTCATTCTTGATTTTAGTAGATAACTGCAAGACTGTCCGATTCTGCAAACATTCCTCGCAGATTGTCACAAAAATTACTCAATATCTGTATGTAACTTAGGAGGACAGATATGAAGAACAGTACAAACCACTCCTATTTACTATGCCAGTGTCTTTTGCTTTAAAAATATAATAAAATGTAATAATCAAAGGTTGCCATAAAAAAACCCACAAAAAACTGCACGGAAAACCCCAAACAATGCAAAACAACAAGAGCAAAAAAACAACAACACAAAAAATACAACGAAAAAAAAACAACAACAACACCAAAACAACCCCCCCCCCCCTCCTACAAAATCCCCCAACAAACAATGGAGTAAAAAGGCTCCACGTTTCGTTCGTGCTATTATTTGTAACTTGAATACTTTTTAAGGGATCACCTTTTTTAAAGAACGTAATGTTTAAAAACCACGCCGTGAATAAGTGTAGTGTTGCGATTAGAGGAAAGAGAACTGACTTGCTCTTGAAAGTACAACAGCTCAAGGGTTTTTTGAATTTTGAAATTTGTACCTGGACTTTTAACAATTAGTAAGGAATTTTCTAGAATACGGTGTACCGAGTACAGATATTTAAAGAAATATTCATCTGTCGAGGTATATTGACATTGTGCAAAAGTTGGAAAGTTTAATTTCGATATTTGAGGAGATATAATTTGAAAATAACTTGAATAAGTTGCGCTATGTACTCTTTATCAGGCCTGTCGAGAGGGAGGGTCAGGGGGTTTGGGGGGCCCGGAAGCACGGGGAAAAGAGAGAGAAAGAGAGAGAGAGAAAGAGAGAGAGAGAGAGAGAGAGAGAAAGAGAGAGAGAGAAAGAGAGCGAGAGAGCGAGAGAGCGAG